ATTCATCCCACTTATGGAAAGATGATCAGTCCCTGCTGGATCCCAACACCTAAGAATTCAGGAAGAAGAACCTGACCTTAAACAGAAACAAAATATTTCTGAGTTTCTGTTTGTGGACTATCTTTATCCCATTGGCATATGTAGAAAGAATTCCTGAAGTATGGAACTGGGTTCCTATGAGGCATTTGTTATGTCTGAAAAGAGAAATGAGCATCTTATGACATCTGCAGAGGCGGGGTTGGGAAATAGTTCTTTTACTTCCTGTAAAACAGTCTGTATTGAAAACAGGGAAGTAAAAGAGACACCACAGACAGCATCCTCTCAAGCAATGCACATCTGGGATCTGTTCTTTAATCCCTCAGTGGGAAAAGCAGGAAACTTATCAACCAGTCTTTCTACTCCATGAAGAAGTGCAACTGGTCATGCTTTTATTCTTGCTCCAAACTCTTAGAAGAGTCCCAAGATTTTACTGTAATATTTACTCTTAATCACTAACATATTACTGAACTATATGTTAATAATTACTTTACACTAACAATTAGCAATAGGAAAATCGAGGTTTGGTGTATGACAACCAGCTGCAGGCATCCATAAAAGCAAAATAAAGTCAGGATCAGCAGTGATACACAAAGTATGGGTTTTCTTCCCTGCTGTTACAAAGTCTGAAGTCACAGGCTTTCACAAACAAGGCAGGGGCTCAATCCCTGAGCTGTGTCTTCATCTTTGACTAAGCACAATTTTTGGGCAAAACTTGCTGACAGATCTATAACCACAAGCAACCCTAGACATGCAAATCCATTGTTTTGTTTTTTGTTGTTGTTCAGATGACAGGACTTGCACAGTGGTAAGGGCCCAAGTAATTTCATCAAAGGTAAATGTACCAAATTTATCTCAAGATAATATCAAAGATGTCAGTCAAATTCCCGACCCTAACTTCCATGTGTTCCAGTTACAAAAGTACACATACTGTTCCCAAGATTCTCTTTATGGAGAGTGTGCATAGAAAAGAGGCAACAGTATTTCAAGAAGTAATTGTTGTAACTACTCAAGATAGCAATATTCAAGGTGAGTGCCAACAGCATTTCTGACTGACCAACATTCACCAACATCAATATGAAAACAGTACCTTTCTTATCAGTCTTTTTTATTGTTTGGCCAGTCTCTCTCTCTCTTTGTGTGTGTGTGTGTGTGTGTGTGTGTGTGTGTGTGTGTGTGTGTGTATTTTTTTGAGACAGGGTTTCTCTGTGTAGCCTTGGCTGTTCTGGAGTTGATTTCTAGACCAGGCTGGTCTTGAACTCACTGAGATCCACCTGCCTCTGCCTCCCAAAGTGCTGGGATTACAGGTGTGTGCCTCCAAGCTTGACTTATTTTTCTCATAAACTATGTTTCTACTAAGATACTAGTAATGGTCTGATCGATTTTAACCATTTGGTATTGGTGACTTATGTGTTGTTTGCCCATATGTTTTCTCTTTTATGTTGGAACAATGTAAAAGGAACTGGTGATTTGGGCTCAGAAATGAGAAAGATATGACTCTGGTTAACATGACATGTTATTTCTGAATTTATCCTGATTGTCTACAAAACTAATAACATTCTCCGAGGTGGGCTTTCTTCTCTGTAAAGCACAATGACTTTTAATTAAAAAGAACACAGTTTGCACACATTGATAAGATTGTTTTGAAATGTAAGATTAATAGTCACTTCCTTGGAAATCTTGTCTGCCATAATCTTCCCTGAAGATTTCTTAAAGGCAACATAACTCCTGTGCATTTTTTATTTTCAGTATTTATTATATGATTTGATCACTAACTATGTCTTCTCTTCTGAAGACCTCAGGACCATTGTGTGCCCAGATTTCCAGACAATGGGCAGGTGTGAGAAATGTTTTCTCCCATTGTATCAAATGAAGTCAGCTTACAATGGGTCTTTATCCCCACTGTGTAAATCTCTTTTGCAAAGGAATTCAAGTATTTTAATCTCTCCACTTGATAAAAGCTTTGGGTATATAAAGACCCACCAACATTCTTAGAACTCAGGCCCCTTCACCTTTCCTTTATTCCCTGACAGTGTCTGTGACAGCATGCACAAGTCTAGTGCGAGCTCAAGCATTACCAACCGAATGTCTGATGGGCCGGCTACCTGTGCATGCAGGTATGTATGTGCATCTAGGCCCACGCCTAGCTTGGGAGCTCCTGGCACTTGAAAGCTCCTGGGAGAAGGAGATCCAGTTTTCCTTAAGAGTGCAGCCACTGACTGGTTATCCAATACAAAATGGCCAACCCTGAAATTGTGCATATGCTAGTAATACTATGTGGACTGGGAAAGTTTTTAATATATCCACATGTATAAATATATGTATACATATAACATAAACGTGACCACTAAAGAAGTAGAGGCTATGAATTTGAGAGAAAGCAAGTATGGGTGCATGGGAAGGGCTGAAAGGAGGAAAAGTGAAAAACAATGTAATTATGTTTTTATTTCAAACACTAAAATAGTCTATAATAGTCTATTATATAAAAATAATCTATACATATATAAATATTTATAAATAATAAGTATATTAGTTATATCTATAAATATATGAGCAGCAGAAGTTGGACTCTGTTTTTTCAAAAAAAAAGGACACAAAATTGAATGAGCAGAGGAAGATGTAGTATGTCTGGGTAGAGTCTGAGTAGGTGTGAATATGGTCAAAGCACACTGTTTACAATTCTCAATAAATAAAAAGAATTAAACAATCACATATTTTCAACAATCTTGTATCAAGAAAGTAGCAAAAGTGACAATCAATTTAGAGACCAGCAAGATGGGAGCCAAAGTATGTGGGGGAGTGGGGGCACAAAAATTTAATGAGATGTATGTACAAGAGTCATGATGAAACTCACAAACAGAGAAAGTTAGAAGAAAGAAAATACAAAACAAACAAAAATAAGTCTTATGTTTGTTGAGACAAAGTTGATAAAACAACAAATTTAACTGTGTGACGAAGCAGAAATGGGCCTCAAGGATGGAGCCCGTGCAGAGAATGCTAAAGGGTTGCAGGGTGTGGTGACACACACCTTTAATCTTAAAAGTCCAGAGTTAGAAGGAGGCAGACATTTTTTATTTTGAGACTAGCCTGTTCTGTGTAGCAAGTCCCAGAGCAGCCTGTCTCAAAAAGAAAAAGAAATCAGCATGATGGTGGTACATGCCTTTAAATTCCAGCACTCAAGGGACAGAGGCAACTGAATCTCTGAGTTCAAGGCCAGCCTAGTCTACAGAGTGAATTCCAGAAAAACAAGGGCTACACATAAAACCCCATCTCTAAAACAAACAACAAAACAAAAACAAAAAGCCAAGAATGCTAGAAGTCTGGACTTTCATCCCTAGAATAAGACATAAGGTGATGGCAAATCTTTTTTTTTATAATTTTTTTATTATTAGTTACATTTTATTAATTCTGTATTCCAGCTGTATCCCGCTCCCTCATTCCCTCCCAAACCTTCCCTCCCTCCCCTTTCCAAGTCCACTGATTGGGGAGGACCTCCTCTCCTTTCATCTGACCCTGTTTTATTAGGTATCTTCAGGACTGGCTGCAAAGTCCTCCTCTGTGACCTAGCAGGACTGCTCCTCCCTTGGGGGATGGGGAGGTCAAAGAGCCTACCACTGAGTTTCTGTCAGGGATAGTCCCTGTTCCCCTTACTATAGGAAACCAGTTGGTTACTGAGCTACCATGGGCTTCATCCGAGCAGAGGTTCTAGGTTATATCCATACATGGTCCTTGGTGAAGTGTCAGTCTCAGAAAAGCCCCCTGTGCCCAGATATATTTGGTCCTTGTGGAGCTCCTATCCTTTCCACGTCATACTAACTCCCCCTTCTTTCATATGACACCCTGCACTCTGCCAAAGGTTTCGTTATGCAAATCTGTCCTTTAAAAAAACAATTTCTTTTACAATTTTATAAACTCTGTCTGGATCATGTTCACCCTTCTTCTAAATTATCTATGGAATGGGTCTTTTTGTATTCAAAGTTCCCCTGCTTCTCTTTTTCTGCCCATAACCATGCTGATCTGCAGATTGCTGAGCTGAGCACTATGTGGCCACATTGTCCAACAACTTGAACATCTCAAGCCCCAAACTGAATTTTTACCTTGGTCTGGAAACCAGTAACAGCTCTGTGACACACGACTCCATAAACAGTATGAGAAATGAAAAAACACATTTTGCACACAACAGGCTACAAGTGAGGAATCACAAACATGAGGTGCCTCTGCTAAACATGGCATAAGCAGTTAGTGGTATGCAGGAATTAAAGAGAAGCCAGACCTGATCCTAGCAAGAGTTCTGCCCCAAGGAACAGGAATAAAAATGACACTGACGATAGGTCATAGGGAGACGGGGATGGATAAAGTTGCTAAGAAAAAGAGAGGGATGGGTTCCCTGCAGGAAATTGGTTAGCAGTTCCGGGGACATGAACAGTAGTGTTTTTTTTTTTTCTTCCATCCTCATCCTTCCTGTGTGCTCATCCCCAAGATGAAACTGAACAAGAAGCTCACAATCAGGTGTTCGGTATGTCTCTGCTGCTCTTCATCCTCTCTGAAGCATTAACAAGTACCCTTTCCAAACCATCTCCTTGTATACTGCTGCATGGCTGTATAGACTGGAGCCACGAAGAAGACTTCAAAAGGATGCTCAGAAGGGAACGCTCAGCACTCAGCCACACAAATCTGGAGATGAGCAGGTAATAAACTCAACAGGGCTATCAGTATTTCCTCCTGGGCATTGGAGTGACGAGGACTGATCAGGTAGAAAGAGAGAACACCTCTTTAAGGAAATGACTACAGAATCTGGAGCCTGTCCAAGCCACAGATTTAGGGAAATGAGAGGCAGGCCCTTGGGAAGGGCAGTTCCCCTTTCTGGGGAGAACCTGAGGTGTAACCATTTGCTGACGAGCACCCAGTCTCCAAAGGCCTTACCCTGTGTTCCAGTCCATCTGGCCAGGCAATGTGGCCTTCGCCATACACACAGTTGCAGCCACAGAGAGGAGATGCCATGGCTTTCACCTTCACAGTCCTGATCTGTCTGGGTGAGATATGAGAGTGGGAGGAAACACTATGATCCAGAAGGGGCGTGTAGCACAGTTCAAGACTTTCCCAGCAGAAAATTCCAGGGGTACAGGAGGTTTTCTAGAGGAAAAAGCTTGCTCATAACTCAGGCGAGCAGATCCTGAATAAGAAACTCTTTTTCCAGGACTGAGTGTGAGACCCAGGATCCCAGTGCTGGCAGGTAAGTGTGTACTCAACTTTCCCGGGGCCTTCCCCTTCATGGTAGGCAGTAAGAATGGGAGCAGCCGCTGTGGGATAAGCTTTGTGATACTGGGAGTGTGCAGGAGCTGAAGGCTAGGATCAGATCAGTAATGTCCCAGAACACCCATTTTCTGACTTTCTTTTTGTAGGAGCCTTACCAAAGCCCATCATCAAAGCTGAGCCAAGCTCTTTGGTCTATAGGGGAATGCAAGTGTCCATTTCATGTATGGGGACTTCGGATGCAGGGAGGTACCTTCTTTATATGAAGAAATTTGATCATAGACAGCACAAACAAACCTCTTCAAACCATGGGGAGAAAGCTGTGTTCCTCATAAGCTCTGTTGGAAAGCATGACGGAGGCCAATATTCCTGTATCTATGTGACCACTGCTGGCTGGTCAGAATACAGTGACATTCTGGAGCTGGTGGTGACAGGTAAGAGGAGATTAACTAACTCTATAAGGAGGTGTCTAGTCATAGGATGTTCCTCTCCTGCAGCCCAGCCTTGCCTGACATGGTTGGGCTATTGTGAACACGTTTAAAACTCTGTCCCTTCCTCTCCAAGGAATCTTTGACAGCAAACCCAGCCTATCAGCCTTGCCTGGACCCGGGGTGACCTCAGGAGATAATGTGACCCTCGAGTGTTTCTCACAGGAGGAATATGACAGGTTCATTGTGACCAAGGAAGGAGAGCAGAGGGACTTCATGAGCATGAAGTCACAGAAGACATCTGTTGGGCAGTTCCAGGCCCTGTTCATTCTGGGTTCTGTGACTCCCAGCAGTAGTGGGACATTCAAATGTTATGGCTACTATGATGCCAACCCACAGGTGTGGTCAGAACCTAGTGACCACCTGGAAATACGCATCTCAGGTGAGGCAGCCCCACTACTGAGCCAATCATATTTTGAAACACTAAGCTCCTTTCCTTGAACACTGCTGGGAGGTGGTTAAAGAGAATTTCTAGACCCTGAGTCAGAATGCCAGAGATGTGAGAAGTAATCGTACTAGCAAGGAAGCTGAGGGGAGAAAATGCTTGGCAGGAACTGGCTTCTTAGCTTCCCGCCTGTGGTTTTTTTCTGTCTAGGAAGCACACCTTGCTGACTCAGCAAAACCGTGTCTTCGTCCTCTGGTGTTCTTATGCTGGCTATTATAGACTTGTCCTGGCCAAGGGAGCGAGAAATTATCTCTCTAGAATTGTGGGATACACATCCAGGCTGGGCTATCCTGGACTAACTTCACCCTTGTCCCTGTGAGCAGGTTTCATGAGCACCAGTTACAGATGCTAGGGTGGACACAACCTCTGCTCTGGTAGTCAGCACTTAGTGACCCCATGGACATCCATGTATGAGTGAGAAGCCCTGGAAGTCAATACAAGGACCCAAAAAAAAAAAACATCTCCATAAATCCAAGAGATGGTAGACATGATGAGAGTAGGGTTCTCAGAAAGCTATGGATTTCTATGACAGGAGAGAGAAGGAAGAATAAGGTCAGGAAAAAAAAACATGGAAAAAGACCAGGTTCTCACTGACAGCCACAGAGGATGGTGGACTTTTTCTCATTTACCCTTGTCTCAAGCAAATTCCACAGCATACCACATCTTTCATGGCCCCCCAACCCCCCAGGAAAGAATGTTATCCTGATGTGTAGGTCAAGGAACACAGTGGACTCTTTTATTCTGTACAACAAGAGAATAGTACATCAATCTCTGCACCTAAGATCAAAGTTTTCATCTCAGCAATTCCAGCAAGAATTCTCCATGAGTGACCATGGCACTCAGGAGTATCTAGAATTGCTACAGTTTGCAAATCTTGTTGCTATACCCTAGTGTCCCTGGGGAACTCTTGGGTTCGTGTGTGGTAACCTAGAACTCTATGAGCTGAATGGATCACTTAGGATTCTGCATGACAAAAATTCTTGGCTAATATCTAAATGAGAGGCTCTGGGTGAATTTGGTCAGTGGGATATTCACCCTTCATGAGGATGGAAGCCAACAGTAGGATTCACTAAGGAATGCTCTCTGCCTCTCCCCTTCCCCATTTCACAATGAACTGCAGAAGGTCCAGGGTACTCAAAAGGAGTTATTGGCAGCCATAGGTGAGTGAGTAAAAACAGTGCAAGCCTCTGCTCAGATCTTTTGCTGAAAGCTATCCAACATCTTCTATGACACTCCCCATACCTGGATCCTACACTGTCCACATTAACTATGAGAAGAAAAGTGATGGAGAACAATCTATATCAAAAGGATCTGCTTCCTACTTGGCCTGAACAAAGAGAAGTTTCTATGTCTGGTGGGAGAAGCAACATCTGAACCATTTTGATAATAAGATACAGGAGCTTGCCCTTAGAGGAGATTATTTCTCACTTCTAAGAATCTAGAAGATAAATGTCCCTTCCCTATACCTATCTTGTCCCTGGAAACTCAGGACAGGTGAGGGAGCTCTTCATAACATGCAGGGTATGTATAAGCGAAGCATTCAGAAGCAACATACATTTGAGAGACCGTGATCCTGCTGAGCACGCCAGAGATGCCATACTCAGAGCACGTATGAGGATTAGAGAATGGGAGTCACGTAGTTTCTTATGCAGTGGCTTGGGGGCGGGGGGGGGAGGTCACTGCCTGGAACACCTTTGTCAAACTATCCAATCTGAATTTTCTGCTTTCAGTTGTGTTTATTTGTGCTTTCACTTACTGTTTATTTGAAACTTTCCAGTAAATACCTTCTGGTAGATGATTTGTTTAAGGTTCATGGATTTTTTTTTTCTTAAAGTCACCGGAGTCTAAGCTTATTACAAATTTTATAAAATCAGGTAATATTTTAAAATATGTTCAGGGCTGAATGGCTGAGACTGAAGAACCTATCTGGGTCTTATCTCTGTAGAAAGATTATTTCCCCCTTTCTCAGCAGCCCATAATGGCCTGAAGATATTTATCTCCTGTTCAAGACTTGTGAGATTTACCCTATCCACACTGCTACATTAAAATATATTTTCATCATACAGACTTTTTTCAGTAACCATAGTGTTAAGAATTTTTGAATGCAACTCTCTATCATATATAAAAGAAGCTATTTAAGCAAATGGCCTGATCCTCTGCCATTTGCAATATTTCCACCATTTCACCAATATTTCTTGAGCCTTAGATGAAAGCAATTTGCTGTATCTATGACAATTGGGGTTAGGCAAACCACTGTTCATTGTTCTCTGCCCTTTTTTGGCCAATTGTGGCTTTCTGTGATGGTCTCTATCTTCTGCAAAGGTAAGCTTCTCATATACACAGCAAGAGCTACATTTATTTGTAGCTATAAGGATAGGTATTTAGGATGCAGCAAGCAATTACATTGCTTTAGGAAATGGTTTTCCTCTAGGTCCTTGGCTACAGTACCAGGCATGAACTCCTTCCCCATTTAGTAACCCCGAAGTGCAATTTGATTGCTGTTAGTTGTTCCTTCTTGTGCACATCTTACCAATCTGGTCATTGTTTTGTTTAAACTGCTGCAACTTTCAAGTCTGTGAAATAAAAACATTTTCCTAGCTATTTTAAATCCATTTACTAATCTACCCAAAGTTCTTAATTTTTACGTGTTTTGTTATTTCACGTCCGTGGTGTCTTCCCTGCATAGGTCTGCGCATCACTTGCATGTCTAGTACCTGTGGAGGATAGACAAAAACTGCAGCTACTGACAGCTGGGAGCTGCCACTGTGGTGCAGCTAACTGAACCCCAGCCCTCTGGAAGAGGAGCCAGCGCTCTTCACCACTATGCTCTCTCTCTACACCAAAATTCTTGGTGTTGTACACAAAAATATGTGCATTCCTGGACATATATCAGAACAGGCAGAGCTATTGAAATACTCCACTAATTTGTTCATAAGGTATTTGAGTTCCCATTTTCTAAGGAAGCATAGAGGTATCTTGGTTGGAATATATTAATTTATTTCATATTTACATCAGAGTCTATTCTTCAAGTTGCTGCTCAGTTAATGTTTTATAAATTACTGATAATCATATCAATTACAACAAGATTGAAAATTTATCTAACATGTTTTTCACTGGCATAAGTCCATGGTGGGTACTGATGGGTTTATAAGGACATTTCTAATCAAACATATTATGTACAAATGTTGGCCCTGTCAATCTTCAGTCCTCCCCTTTTTCCGCCTCCTCCTGTGACAATGAATTCCTCAGTCTTCCTTCTGCATTAATGTGACACACACACACACACACACACACACACACACACCCCTGATAGAAAGAGTCTGCCAATAAGAAGATGAGAGAGAGAGAGAGAGAGAGAGAGAGAGAGAGAGAGAGAGAAATAGTGAGGACACATGATATTTGGTAATTCTGAATCTAATTGATTTGACTTACTACAACAATTTCTAGGTACATTCATTACTACACAGTAATGTCTTTTTCCTGCACACTGTTTTTTTTTGCTCCAAATATATGTGTATATATATGTCAGATTATACAAATATATACATTTGCTTCCATACCATCTACATTGTATATCTACACATCTTCATGGTAACAAGACTCCAACCCATTATTATTACCCTACTAGTAATTTTGGAGCTTTATTTTGTGCTCTATAGATTCACAGCATTATCCCTTACAATGTTTAGTGAATATAGATAGTGAGTAGGCATTTTGAGTCTTGCTGGCTTTCATTGTATGTGTTTCTAAGGGTATGATGGCTAGTTATTGGGCTACTAAAGAGACATATATCATCTAGAGAACTAGCTGTGGTATGTGCACAGGAGGAGCATGCAGAAGCCAGCATTTTGTGCTTCAGACTTTTAACAACCTCTAATACCCAGACTTCAGCTTAGGATCTTGGATGATCAACAAACAGAAGAGAAACCCCATTTTGTGCTACTTTGAACGTTATCATGTGTGGTAGATTAAGCAGAGTGCTCAAGGTTTTCCAGCATTCTGAACTGTGAGTGGTGATTTTATCACTGATCCTGATTCCTTGGGATTCAGATAAATTGTTGTTATACAGTGATATGTCATAGGTGTTGACCTTAAATAGCACAGTAATGCTGAGGACTTTAATAAGAATACCAAAAATGTAATTAAATTTTTTACATTAATTAAAGTTTATTCACTTTGTATCCAAGCTGTAGCCCACTCCCTCATTCCCTTTCAATCCCACCCTCCCACCCTCATCTCCTCCTATGCCTCTCTCCAAGTCCAAGGATAGGGGAGGTCCTCCTCTCTTTCCATCTGACCCTAGCTTATCAAGTCTCATCAGGACTGGCTGCATTTTCTTCCTCTGTGGCCTGGTAAGGCTGCTACCCCATCAGGGGGAGGTGCAAAGAGCCAGTCACTAAGTTCATATCAGAGACAGACCCTGTTCCCCTTACTAGGGTACCCACTGAACTGTCATGAGCTACATCTGAGCAGGGGTTCTAGGTTATATTCATGAATGGTCCTTGGTTGGAGTACCAGTCTCAGAAAAGACCCCTGGGCCCAGATTTCTTGGTTTTGTTGCTCTCCTTGTGGAGCTCCTGTCCTCTCCAGGTCTTACTATCTCTCGTTTCTTTTCTAAGATTCCATACACTCTGCCCAAAGTTTGGCTATGAGTCTCAGTATCTGCTTTGATACAGTGCTGGGTAGTCTTTCAGAGGTCCTCAGAGGGATTCTTATACACCTCTTAAAGCAGGAGAATGACTCATCACAGACAGTCATGACATTATATAATGAGAATGGTTGCCATTAGCAGGAATTAAAAATGGGAACCTCAGAGGAAACCCTTGGGTCTCTTAAGCACATCACACATCTTATTCCTCTTCTTCTGTTCTAAGGATCACCTGAGAAAATCATCCCATCACAGAACATGTTCAAACCCAGGACAGGCAAATATGGAGAATTCAAATTGGATGCAGAAAGTCTAAGTCCTGTCCAAAGAAAGCAGGTTCCCTGGGTGGACAGCCACCGAATTGTGTTTGATCTTCCCTAATCTTTGTGACTTTTTTTGTCTTGAACCACAGACTCAGAGACCCAGGATCACACAGTAGAAAATCTCATCAGAATTGGCATGGCTGGCTTGATCCTTATAATCCTTGGAATTCTTCTGTTTGAGTCTTGGCACAGCCAGCTAGAGATTCATCATTCAACTGAGAGGTAATCAGAAGAGAAAGAAGTACGTTTTTTTAAGGTTCCAGAATCTCAGTAATACATACGATAATCTTAAATTCTTATACAAGAAATCCCAGTCCTTTTGTTGAGGAACTGTTTTGAGAAGTCCAGGAGTTTTGGGGTGCAGGGAAAGGTGTGGGTGTTGTGATGAGATCCTTTTTCATCAAATGAATTTCTGTCCTTCCACCTACTGTGGGCATTTGCTGACTGACCCAACTCTATCCTGAATTAACGACACACAAAATTAATTAATTTTTAACTATTCTGGGCTGATCCTCACTTCCTGGAATCCTCTGTTTTCAATCCCTCTCATGTGACATTTTTTTCTTTCTATGTTATAAATTACACTATTCACTATGGGAGTAGCCTCTTCCTGTTGGACTTGAAATGAAGAATTTGCCTCAATTAAAAAAATGATGACAAAGTCAGAATGAAAAGTCATTCCATTTCTGTTATGATCCAAATCTCTCTGCCTACACTCCCAGCTCTTCAGTTCCAAAAGTAAAAGATAGATGCCTATATTCACCCTGAGTGAGCCCCTCACTCTATCATCATGAAAAAGTGTCTTGGGCTTGTCGTGTTTCATCAGAGTTTAGAAAGCTCACGAAGAATGCGGGGCATCTCCTGATTCTGATCTGCCATGGTTAGAGTGAACTATTCACACTTTTGCTCTGACAGTCACATGGGAGATCAATGCAAGATGGTTTAGTGAGCTTGGATCTCACATGCTTCCACCCATATAAGAGGCAGCAAGAGTCCTCACCATTGCGTGCTTAAAATTAGGTCCCAGCCTATCACTCAACATGTTCTCAATGTTGGTAGATGGTGGGAAAAATGAGAAGTCATTTTCCTTGAATCAGGAAGTAGCAGTGTCACACTGACTTTACCCAATGTTTCCTTAGAGCTCAGAGACTGCTGCTTGGAGCTTTGAGAAAAACGTGGGTAACATCAGTGTAAACCTGGAAAGTAGGGCTGGATCGTTCTATCTGAGATTCTGAGAGTTCCAGACCCACCTCCTATACTTAGATCAGCCAAATACATGCGGGGGTTGAGGAATGCTTGTAGCTATGCTAAGGTCTAAGACTTTGGAGCCCTGTATTGCTCTCTGTGAAGGAGGGTAGACAGCACCATTTACTGAAATCTCCTTGTATCACTAATTTTAAAAATCCCATACGGTTCTACCAGTAAATCTGATATAGGCAGTTTGCAAAGGGAGCGGTCCTCTTCCCAGGTGACTCTAGCTTATGTCCAGTTGCCTAAACAACACGTTCTTTTTTTTTTTTTTGAGACAAGGTTTATCTGTGTAGCCTTGGCTGTCCTGGACTTGCTTTGTAGACCAGGCTGGCCTCTCACTCACAGTGATTCACCTGCAGCTGCCTCCCAGAGTGTTGGCATTATAGGCGTGAGCCACCCAGCCTGGCTCAAGCACAGTCTTCTTAATCTAAGGAATTATAAACTAGATTCCATGTCCCTGGACTGGGTATCACACTAACCCATAAACAGTGATCATTACAATTTTTTAATTATTCTGTTAACTTATATGACGGCAGATGAATTTGCTCCCCTAAGCAATGGTGTCTGGTACATTGAGACAGAACATGAAAAGTCAGATTGATGATGTGACTAGGAGAGAACAGAGCCTGAGGAAAGAGAATTCCCAAGGAGGCTTTGAGGTAGACATGGGATGGGGGCTGCCCCTTACAGAAATGAGCAATTTAGAAGAAAAAGAAAATTGTCAGTTAAGTACAAGCCCAGTACAAAAGGAATATCCACTTCTCGCAGTGAGTCATTTACAGCTTCCAGAACTCTCCCTAAGCATTCGCTAGTACTGACTGTGTAGCCAATTATGATCTTACAATCAACTTAGACAAATAGAAAGCATCCTCAGCCTCTCCTCCTCTTCTTCACATGCTGACATTAATTCCAAACAGTCCTGACATGATCTGTCCCTCTTTCTGTTCCCTGGGCTTCAGCCCAATACAAGCTCAGTGAAGACTCAGGATATATATACTGTCATATCATTTACCTTCCATAGTACTACAGGTCCCTGGCCCAGTTCATCTCACTATTTCAACAATCCAGATGACATTCTTGCAGTCTGCTGCCATGGTCCATACCCTCCTCCATGCTGAATCTTCTGTAGGGCTCTGTTTCCTGCACATACAGAATCCCCTCCTGATATCCACTGTCAATAGGCAATCTCTCCCCCAGAGAACCCATCTCTTCCTACAAAGCAAACTCTTTACAGACAGAGACTACCTCTACCCAACACACACACACACACACACACACACACAGAGAGAAAGAGAGAGACAGAGACAGAGAGACAGAGACAGAGAGAGAGGTTCAGTTCCTAAACCATCTGGACCTTTCACAATTGCATCCAGAGAGGAAACAGGAAACACAACTGCAGCCTCCCTCTCCACTCTGATAAGGCCAGATCTTTAACTTAACCCACTCGACTGTAAACACACTCATAAACTCAGTTCCATACTAGGGATAATCTTGAAACTCACATTCACAACTTATTATACTGGTACGCATGTTGTCTGGGTTCAGATTATTACTGAAAATTTATTAGTTTTCTATCAATAAGATATTACATTCCCACCCCATAACAGTTATCTCCCTAGAGCAGCAAATAGTCATATTCCTTTCCTAGAAGTTTTCATTGTTAGAGGTGAAAGCTCACAGCATACTCATTGTGTCAGAGCGAGACAGGCTCACAACATCCTGTGAGAGTTTCCCTTCTCGAAAGAGCTGCTGTTCTTCAGCGATGAGTAAGCACACCCAAGACAGCCTCACCTTCTTCTTCTTCCTTCATCGCCTGACCTTTCTCAAATGCAGCCTCAACTCAGGATTTACAAGATTTCCAATTTGGGGGTGACTTAACTTCCCCTTCTCTGCAGCTTCCCACTGTGTACAAAGCTGCGTGTCGATTTGCTCATCGCTTCCTCATTTGTAAGTGCGTATCTTTCTCATTCCATATCAGGAACCAGTTAGCAACACGAGTAACTAACGGGCTGGTACCAAGTGGCTGTGACTTGGGCGCAACTGACAGTGATGATTACCTGGCTGATGGAAGGAATCATTCTTGCACTGAAAGAGGTCTAGAGGAAGCACTTGGTACCACAGGGACTGCAGTCAAGGGCTTTGTGTGTCTTTGGTGCTCTGCAAACTTCCTGTATTGTTGGCCTCCATTGTCCCCCAACCAAATGTTCAAGGCTAGGAAGATAAGCACTTATTCAGTAAACTCAATACTGTGCAAATGTTCAGCCTGAAGGAAAGACACCCAGGAGGAACTTTGAGGGAGTGGGAACAACCCTCACTCATACTCTCAGGAAAGCAAACGACTTATGAAGAAGGAAGTTCTATATGTAGCTATTTTGGGGCATAGAGAAATGAGAAAGATGAATCATGGGACGTAATGAGACCTTGTTGCTATGTTTTCTTCCAGCCACCAGAGTGAATAAAAACCTGTGTCTTGAAGGAGAGATTTTTCCCTACCTGAAGAAATCTGCTCATGATACAGAACAAATGTGAAGACATTGGGCAGGATGGATAGAAGGCAGTGTTGAGACATAAAATGGAAACGGTGCTTATGCTCAGCTTTATTGTGAAAGGAAAAACTGAGATATTTAGCAAGATAACCTAGCACTGCATTTCAGCACATACGTTCTGTATTGCTGAGAGACCCTGAGCACACACTTCTTCAGTCACTCTGAGGTCTTTGAGTCCCCTCAGATCAGGGAAAGAATACTTGGTTCAGAACGAGTCTGGAGCTGCTTTGGCCCTCACTGCTTCAGAATAACTCAGAGCAACTTGGCATTGAGTTTCTGAACTTAGGATACTTTGTTTGTACTTTAAACAACATCAGTACAATTTATATTTGCTACAAAAGAACATTTCGAAATGAAGCATGTATGCTAACTTCTCATCTTCATATCTCTTTCCATTCTTCAGAACCAATTCCCCAGACTCACCCTCAGCTCTCTAGAAGACCTTTTACTATGCCTCATTCCCTGGCCTCACTCTGAGAGTACTAACAAACCAGTACTAACCAGTAATAACAAAGCTGGTAAAACACCCAGCTTTCCTTCAATGTTCCAGAAATGCCTATGTTGTTGATTTTTCTCAAAGAACCAGATTTGGCGTTGTTGATTCTCTGTATTTTTCTCTTTATTTCTAATTTATTTATTTCAGCCCTCAGTTTGATTATTTCCTGTCTTCTACTCCTTAGTGTGTTTGTTTTTGTTTTTTTTGTTTTGTTTTGTTTTGTTTTTTTTCATTTTAGAGCTCTCATGTGTACTTCCAAATTGCTAGCATGGGATCTGTCCAATTTATTTATGAAAGCACTTAGTGCTATAAAATTTTCTACACTGCATTGATTGTGTCCCATAAGTTTGGGTATGTTATGACTTCAATTTCATTGAATTCTAAGAAGTTTTAAAGAAAAGAAAGTTTCTTTTCTCCCTGACCTTGAGTAAAGTTTTGTTTAGTTTTCATGAGTTTAAAGGCTTTCTGTTGTTGTTGAAATCCAGGTTTAATCCACAATGGTCTGATAGAATACAAGGTGTTACTTTAATTTTCTTGTATCTGTTGAGGCTTGCTTTGTAACCATCTTTGTCATCAGCTTTGGAGAATGTTCCATGAGGTATCAAGAAGAAGGTATATCCTTTTGTGTTTGCATGGAAGGTTCTATGGATATCTGTTAGGTCCATTTCATTCATCATGTCAGTTAGTTTCATTGTTTCTCTGTTTAGTTTCTGTTTTGATGACCTGGGCCATCGTGAGAGTGGGGTGTTGAAGTCTCCTACTATAAATGTTTGCCACTCGTTGGATTGTTTAAGCTTTAGTAGTGCTTCTTTTATGAAAATGGGTGCCCTTGCATTTGGAACATAGATGTTCAGAATTGAGATACCTTTTACTCTGTGGTAATGTTTACCTTTGTTGCTTTAGAAGGATACCTTGGCTCTGGTGGTGCCATATTGCCCTAGTTCTTGTTGATTGTGTTCTTCTGCTGGCCTTCAGCTATCTGGCTGTCCCACATTTGTCAAATGTTCCCAGTGAAGGACTTCTCAGTGAGTCAGGCAGAGTCATGGGCCACACAGTGGAGCTCAGTGATGAGCCCACTGTTCACCTCTTACAGCTGTGTCTCCGGTGGGCCTGAATGTTCTTGGGGTGTGCCCCAAGTGGATCAGGCAAGTATGTAGCTGGCAATGGGGCTCTATGCTTGATGTTTCTGGGGGTTCCCCTCAGGCCTTCTCAGCACGGCGGGCTGTGGGAGTCAGAGAGAGCATGTAGCTCACTTCTGCTGGCTCTGCTGGCTCTGGCCCAGGTGGACCAGCCAGGTACAGAATAAGCAGTGGGGCTCTAAGTTGAATGTTTCCAGGCCCCCCACAGGCCTCTTTAGGATAGCTGGCCATGGGGGTCTGAGAGAGTGTATAGCTCACCTCTGACGCTTCTGCTGGCTGTGCTTAATATTTTCTTTTTTTAAAATTTTTATTTTACTTTTATATTAATCACAGGTTGTTTACTTTGAATACCCCCCTGTCATTCCCTCCCAATCCCACCCTCCTTCCCTGATCTTCTCCCTGCCTTTTTCCAAGTCCATTGCTAGGGGAGTTTCTCCTCCCCTTCCATCTGACCCTAGCTTATCAGGTATCTCCAGGACTGGCTGCCATGTCCTATTAAAGAAAAAAACAAAACAAAAACAAAAAACATGAAATCATGACATAGTCAGGTAAATGGATGAAGCTAGAGAAAAAAAAAATCTCACCCTAAGTGAGGTAAACCAGACTCAAAAAGACAAACATGGGATATATTCCCTTATACATGGATGCTAGTACTTAAATCTTTAATAAACAGACTACGACCATGTAACCACATTGGTTACTTACTGAGAAAGCGTCTAGAAGGGAGGCAAGTGACACTCTAAGATGAGGAAATAGCATAAATTGTTATGGAATGCAGGTCGCTAGTACAGGACGATCATACGAGTGGAGGAAGGGTGGGCAGGGTAAGGGAGATAATTCAGGAGGGACAGATAAAACTAAGGCCCATTTGGGGGTATGGAAACCTAATACAATATTAAGACTTTGGGTTTTATCCCTATTAAGTTGGAGCCTTAAAAGTCTTAAACATAGTCCATTAAAGCGAGAGCTTAACAGTTTCCTGTATGATATAGTATATAAAAAGTCCATAGATTATAAATGTTTAAGACTATACTATAGATTAATAATATCACCATACTCAGAATTCCACGAAACAAAACAAGAAAATTTGAACACAGGGAACTTCCCAGAGACTCATACTCCAACCAAGGACTATTCATGGAGATAACCTAGAACCCCTGCACAGATGTAGCCCATGGCAGTTCAGTGTCCAAGTGGGTTCCATAATAATGGGAAGAGGGACTGCCTCTGACATAATCTGATTGGCCTGCTCTTTGATCACTCCCCAATGAGGGGGGAGCAGCCTTACCAGGCCACAGAAGATGACAATGCAGCCACTTCTGATGTGATCTGATAGACTAAGATCAGAAAGGAGAGGAAAACTTCCTCTATCAGTGGATTTGGGGTGGGACATGCATGCAGAAAGGGGAGGGAGGGTGGAATCGAGAAGGGAGGACAGAGGGGCTTATGGGGGGGATACAAAATGAATAAAGTATGAAAGGAAAAAAAGACTATGAAGCTCAACATGTTAAATAAATATGCTGGGCTCAGAAAGAAAAAAGGGTTTATCTAGGCAAAAAATTTTACTTAGTAACTGCCTAGTAATGTGTTTTAAAACCAACAATAAAGTAGAACAGTATAAGGAATTTTAAAATTACATTTGAATTTGTTATATTAAATCTATTAGCCAGAAAGCTTAGTGGTGAATCCAGATCACAGGCAGCTCATGGTGGGAAAAATATCATTTATTTATTATTTTAGGAATTGATAAGGACAGAGACATACATTTTAAATTAGCTTGTTAATTTGAATAGATGTTTATAATCTTGAAATTTTAGCATTATATAAATATTATTTTGATCCAGGGTTAAATTATATATATAGCATGTTGTAAATATATAACTTTGAATGTAAAACTCCTTGCCCACTTAAAATGAGACTTGTTGGTGTTTTAGTCTAAAAGGAGATAAAAGAAAGAGTTAATTATGACCAAGGAAGTCTTATAAATGTAAATCCAATGAGAAAATTATATAAAACGTTAGAAAAGAATTTACATCGTTTAAAAATTTTGAGAGTAGAAAAAGAAATCAGAAGATTTTTATTTAGTGGGAGAGCACGCAGGAAGAAACAGAAAGGACTTTGAGAAAAGAGAAATAGGGAAGCATTTTTTTTCCTTCACTGATTGCTCTTAGTGTTATTGGATATTACTGGATATTAGACATTTGAGTAGGGCAAATATAGGTGTAGAAGCCAGAGGTTTCTCAAAGGGGAGAGAATATGGGGAAGCCAATCCTGCCAATGAGAAAGGGGAAATGGAAATAGATCATGTGGCTAGTGGTTCCCCAACTAAGGAGCACAGCAGGTCAGGAGCTTAGCCTGGCTAAGCCTGAGAACCTCAGTGCCTGATATCAGGGCTGAGTTCTCATAGAGGGAATCTCATCTGTGGGAAAGGATAGGGGTAAACACGCAGCTTTAGAGTGGAGGTATGAAGGGTCACAGTGGCCTTTTAGGGCCTATAGGAAACTGCAGTTTTCCAGCTCCAAGAATGGCAGGACAGAAACAAGGTAGTGAAAGCAGCTGGCAGTGAAGAGTTTAAGTTAGCCCGGGTGACTCCATTTTGAAATAAAGAGCCATCTTGACTGGGAGCTGAACTCAGGTACCAGAAAATATCACAGAATGTGCACCTGGAAGAAAACAAATTTAGTCCTCCAAGCAACAGCCTCCAGGAAATAAACACAGAATAAATGTTTAGTAAAAAATTGAGACAATCACCCTGACAACTGTGATTATGCAAATGGTCACCTCTCCCCTGTGGCTTTTGCCCAATTCTGTAATGTCAAGGTATGAACCCCCCTGCTTTCTCTCATGGGAACATGTACCCCCCTGCTTGCTGTCATGGAAACACCCTGCTTACAGTCTTTCCCTTTGAAAAACCTGCTCACTCAGGGCTCAGGGTCCTACTTCTCTACTGCTGTGTCAGTGAGACTTGGGTCCTAATTTTGATCACTCTCATAATGAAGCTCTCTTGCTCTAGTATCAAGTCATCTCCTGGTGGTCTCTGAGAGTCCCGTGATCCTGGTATTACAGCAGCAGGGAAAGCACAGTATTTTTTATAACCAAGATGGCTGCCAAGTTGTGAAACCACGTGATTGCCCTTAGTGGAGATGGCAGTGAAGCCATGGCTCCACCCTCTTTATCCTAAAATCAACATGGTAGCTAGCATGAGTTGTATGCAGCACGGTAGCATGGCAGAACTGGGATTGCGGGATCCAGGGCCTTGCTGACGGCATGGCAGTCCCTGCCTGACAGCACTTCGAAACTGTCCATG